AGTCTACTAAAACACAGCCAAGACAAGTTACTTTATACAGATCAAAGGTCAGTTTTATGTTATTTGATACAGTAACACAAGTACAAGGGAGCCACATCATTGTAACTTTTGTATTGTTAACCAGGCATGGCTGAAAGATCAATATTATAAATAAATAAATAAATATATATATATATATATATATATGTATGTATGTGTATAATGTTATGAGATTTAAGCTATTTAGTCTAAACATTTATGTTTTCATGTTATAATTTCTGTTCATTCTAGAATGAAAGAGGCATAAGTTATATTTATTTCCTAATTTTTTATGGTGGTTGCGAGATTGGTCAAATAAAATAAAAATAAGTATAATATTAAGAAAATATAAAGTTATTTTCTTAAGAAACGTTTGATAACTATCTGGACATTATAAAGATTTTGCATGTGAAATTTCAAAATTTTCTGATGCATAAATGTATTTTTAATCGTAAAATGAATATTACTCTGTATGATAGATAGGCAACATGCAAAAAGAAAAAAAAGACATGAAAAAACATTGCTTTAGAAACCTTAAGACTGAATAAACAAATTTTATATTTTGCATATGAAAGTATTGTAATGTTTACTGATAATCTCCCATATTTCGTTAACATTCGCTTACTAATTTAAAAATTATAGCATGAAAACTATAACAAGCACAGTGAAGATAAAATCCAGTTTGTACTGCAATGTCATTATGTTGTATTGTTCATAGATATCATTTAACACTCAAACTCTGTCAATTTCTTTTACAAAACAGTATAAATCATCTGTCAGGTTAATAACTCCTTTTTTGTTTGATTAAGAGAAGGAATTTGGACTCTTCTGTTTGAAGTGTGTTAACAATCGATTTTTTTCTGTGCTGAAAATTACAATTGAACTTAGAATTAAATAGCAACACAAATCAGAGAAAACATTTAGTTTTATAAACGAAACTTACCTTAAGATCCAAAGTTTGTCCAAAACTTTAATCTGATAAGGAAACATTTTAAAATACTTATTTTTAGGTCCTGCCAAAACAATTGAAGAGCAAGCCAATAATTTACTCAAGATATAGAATCCTATATAAATAAGGTTATATAGAAAAAAATTTAAGAGCTACTCTGTAATCCTTGTTACTTAGACTCTGTATCAATATTTGGATTTGCCACTAAGACTTGTTCAAATTTGCACCATCACCTATAAATGAAAGGTCTTTTCTCCGACGGTAAAGAAAAAATCTTTAATACTGTGGCATTGAACTTTTCTATTACTTTAAAACATTAAATATCTCAAGGGGGACAGAAAGTCATTCAGCCCATCCAAGTCACTCCTTGTAAGTTGATATGTTTCTAGTATCATCATCCAATTTAGAAGTATTAAGCCCAATAAATCATCCTTACTGTTGACAAAATATGACTATTGGAAGTCCCAGAACAGGCTTTTGAGGGACTGAAAATCACACTCCCAATCAGAAAAAATGTGACTGCTCACTTGATTTTCTCTCCATGATTTAATTGAAATAAAATCAAAGTTACTAATAAATCTTGTGTGAGGAATGTTGAAAAAATGCTTTCTAAAAATCAAGATGTTAGAAATACAGAATCACTGAAAAACTAACAAGTTTGTTAGGCTAGAAAACCCTTTTTGAAAACAAACTTTGCTGAAAATTGTTAACTAAATGCCAACATTCTAAAGGACTTGTAACAATATATCCTTACTCCTTGTTTACAACAGAAGTCAGACTGATAGCCTGTTGTTCCCTAGGTACTCTTTATTTTCATAAGTCAGGATAATTTTTGCTTTTCATCAGGAATTTTTTATTCTCAAAAAACTTGAAAAATGACAGTTAAGGACCTCACCCTCTTGATTTATATTAAGCTCCTTTAAGGTTTTAGGAAAATTCTTGTCAAAGCCAGAAACTTTGAAGTTTCCTAATTTTTCTAAAATTTCATTTTTAAGAGAAGTAGAATTTTAGAAAGAGTCTTCCTCTCCTTTAAAGAAAATTTTCATCTTAGATATTTCTTTTTCTTGTTCCTCAATATAAACACTAGTAGAAAACTGCAGTTATGGTAGAAAGCATCAGTAAAGTTTCATATTTTAGTACCCCTAATTGACACTTTTTGGTTAAGTACAAACATTATTAATCCCTGTTAACATGCAGCATCTTAACAATTACTGTATCTGTCACATCCCAGAACCCTGGTATTAAATAAAATACTTTGTTGGCACTAGATATAAAATATATAGTGTGGTTTAAATTATAATACACATTTATAATTGAAAACTTTTTAAGAACTAACGACTAAGTAGAACTACTTAGTAGAATTTGTCAATGTATAATGTCTCTTTTTATGTGTTAACTGTTCTTAGCTTACTTTGTAAAATATTTGTAACACCACATTTCAGTTATATTTCTGTTGAGGACTAATATGTTTTACATTTCCAATTGTAACTAAAAACTAACATAATATTCTATGGTCAGTGTTCTTCAGTGTTTGTTGTGAAGAAACGTATGGTGAAAATAAAACTTCCTATATACAATGTGGTGCAAAACTTGCATACCATTATGATTTTTAAATTTCTATCCATATAGTTGTTTGTAATGTGAGCTGTTGATATTACCACCTAGTGTCAAAACAGGATGTTAAGAAAAGTTTGATGTCCAAAATAAAAACTAAAAGAAAGGTTTCAAAATAAAATTTTGTTTGGTGCAGTTTGGTAGACTGCAGATTTTTGAAAGGTTTGGCAATTCCCCCTTAATTGCAATGAAAAAGAAATATGGTTAAATTAATCAAGAAGCTGATATTTTTAATAGATACACAGATATTAATGTTTATAAAAATATTACTATTACTAGACCTTCCAAGTGTTAATAATTAAGACACACAGCAGTGTGTCATGCTGCCAAAACAACCTGCTGCAGGACATGCTGTGTGTTATTAACAGGAGTGATAGTTTAGCAGTTTTCCACCTTCTGTGTCTCGGACTGTGGTAATCCTATTTTCAATGTATGTAGTCTACTGAACTCTTACTTCACATACCAAATTTCAATTCAATACATTAAGTAATACCTGAGATATAACATCTCAAATTTTGATTGAGTTTCTTCCTCTTTTTTTTTTTTTCTTTGCACCAAAAGTACGGAAACTTTATTTGATAGAAAAACATACTTAACTTTTATGGGGTATTTTCAAATTTGATACATTGATAGATTGTTTCAACCTACATTTAGGAGGCTCATTTTGTATAAACTAGCAAAAGTACGCTTGGGTTAATAGGTTGATATATTCTAGATGACTATGTTAGTGTGTGTATTCTGAACTTATTTAGAAGAACAGTCAAAAATATCTAGAAATATTTTATTTCCCAGAAATATAAAACACTTCTTTTTTATGTGTTTTTTTTTGCTATCTTGCCTCATTAAAAAAGATGCACATACATGTAGATAAGTAATAATACCCGGGTTCACACCCTCAGGGTCCACTTAGTATTTTGTAATATAAGGAACCAATTCTTTTCTATGTGGTTTTTGCTAGCTTGCATCATAAAAAAGATGTTCACGTGTGCATGCATATGAATAAGTAATAATACCCAGGTGCACACACACTCAGGGTCCACTTATTATTTTGTAATATAAGAAACTACTTTTTTATGTGGATTTTTGCTAGCCTTCCTCATTAAAAAGATGTGCACATGGATAAGTAATAATACCCAGGTGCACACTCTCAGGGTCCACATAGTATTTTATAATATAAGGAACCACTTCTTTTCTATTTGGTTTTCGCTAGCTTACCTCATTAAAGAGATGTACATGCTCACATGCACATAGATAAGTAAAAATACTCAGTTGCACACTCTCATGGTCCACTTAGTATGAGTGCAAAATTTCTGGTTTCTAAATTCTTTTCTCTTGGAGCTATGCTGGTTACACAGACACACATGCATGCATGTGCACACATGTATGTCTGTTTGTGATTTCTTTTTCTAACATAAGGAACCACTTTTCTATGAGGTTTTTTGCTAACTTGCCTCATTAAAAAGATGTGCACACCCTCAGGGTCCACTTATTATGGGTGCAGAATTTCAGGTTTCTAGGCTCTTTCTTATTGGAGCTATGGCAGTCACATTTCTTTTCTATGTGTTTTTTTGCTAGCTTGCCTCATAAAAAGATGTGTATGCATGCACGCCTGTGGATAAGTAATAATACCCAGGCACACACTCTCAGGGTCCTCTTAGTATGGCTGGAAAATTTTAGGTTTGTAGGTTCTTTCCTCTTGGAGCTATGGTGGTCACACACACACAGACCCAGACACACCCTTTCATTATTATTGATATAAGCCACATGTGCAAATTTATTCAACAAAAAACACTCAAATTTGACCAAAATTTTTGCTCATGCCTTTGCTATAGTGATCTATCGGCTTAACATTTTGACTATAGCTTCATGTAAGAGTAAAAGTGTACCTTTTTAGTTTTGTCCTTCAGATTAAAGCAGCAAAACTATAAGGTGAATGGACAAGCAGATACATAAGTATTGGTTAGGCCAAGCAAACTAGATTAGCAGTTTCTAGCTCAAGTATGGGTGGACAGTTATTATTGATTATTCATTGCTAACTTTTCAGCACAAATTTACTAAATTTTATTAAATTATCCTAATTAAAGAGCATTTAGCATCACGTGATATTAGCTTAAGCAATTAGCATAAATAATGGTGCTTGATACAGCTGTACCAATTGCATGGGGGTGATGAAAAAAAAATGCTAATCTAAATTCCATAGCTTTACTATAAAGGAAGCTGTTAACACTGTTTTAGAGAGGGAAAACTACCACCATATATTTTAAAGAATCTGGCTGGTTCTTTAAAGTAAAGGTCTATTCTGAATAAAAACTAATCTGGGTTACTATCAATTGTCACTTTCTTAATTGCTGTGGTTTGTTGGTGTATATTGACAAAAAGTTATGATATCTAATCAAAATACCTTAGGTGTGAAAAAATATGTGGTCAAAAAAGGATTGAGTGTGCAACTTAAAGGAATGAAATCAAATTGTCAGCCAAACTGGTAGCTACATTTATAGCATTGATAAGGATTTTACAGCAAATATTCATTCATGAGTTGGCCAGACCATTTTTTTGTGTTTTTTTTTTCAACTTGAGGCATGATGGTGGGTAAAACAAAATAACTTATAATATGATTTTTCTTTCTTGCAGAAAGAGTGAGGAATTTTGTATCAAAATGAAGTCATTGAAAGGTACATCTTGTATGGATATAAAAGGTGAGTTTTATTTATTATCAAAAGATTCATAAGTCTAAGTGGAAATGGATACAATATATGCTATTAGTTTATGTGTTTATACACACACACATTTATATTAGTGGTGGCATGTAAGAGACTTGAGGAGGTTTAACCTCCCCAAATAAACTGTTCCTCACAGGGTATTATTCTCACCAACTCAATAATATTATACAGTACATATGGAGGCAGAGGGTGTATGTATACCTCTGAGGGGAGTTTATTTATTTATAGCATATTAACTGATTCTTCACAATTGTGCAGTCTTTCATAACTGATATTATAGCCTACCCAAACAAGACTCTCATGTCATTTGATACTCATCTAAGTAAGGTTTCATTTAGTAACATTACATAATGTTTTGGGACAACATGGGACCTATTGGTCCATCTTGGCTGTTCCATTCTCTAAACTAAATAAAAAACTGATTAAAAAATCTTAAAGCCAGCCCTTATCATTCATATACTTATCAAGCTTTTTTTTAAACTCACTGAAATTTACTGCCTGAAGGTAACCCATTCCAAGGCCAACCACTCTATTAGAAAAATGAATCTGTCTTAGCTGAAGATGACTCTTACCTTCCCAAATTTATATTTGTGTCCCCTAGTCCTACTATTCTCACTGTTAAATATGAAAAAAGATGACACATCAACACTGTCAATTCCCTTTACAATCTTAAACACCTCAATCAGATCCTCCCTAACTGTTCTTTTTTTGAAGAGAAAACAATTTGAGAGATTTTAGCCTCTCCTCATATGACAACCCCTCTATCCAAGGCACCATTCTAGTAACCCTTCACTGAACCCTTTCCAACAATTCAATGTCTTTCTTAAGGTAAGGAGCCCAAGATTGAATACAATATTCCAAATGTGACCTGTACAATGAAATTATAACCCCTTTAGACTTATATGCAATATTTCTGTAAATACAACCAAAAATCCTATTTGTTCTACCACTAGCAACAACACACTGCTTGAATGGCTTTAGAGAGTGTTTGACTATTACACCAAGATCCCTTTCCTTTGTAACACTCTTAAGGTTATTCCCATCCAAGTTATACTTATATTTCAAATTATGGTAACCCACATGCATTATCTTGCATTTATTATAATCAAGATCCATATGCAATTTATTTGCCCAACTCACTAAATGATCTAAATCTTTTAGTAAATCAGCAGCATCACAGCTAGCAACAACCATAACTTTAATATCATCTGCAAATTTAAGTAATTTATTGACTATTCCTTCATCTGTGTTATTGATGTAAATCAAAAATAGAAAAGGTCCTAAGACTGGAATCTGAGGTACCCCACTCATGACATTAATCCAGTTTGACTGAACTCCATTTGTTACAACTCTTTGCTTTCTTTTATCCAGCCACTCTTCTATCCAATTTGCTAACTTATTCCCCACACCTGTAGAGCTATTTTTTACAAGTCTTTTTAGGTGGCAGCAAGTCAAATGCTTTCTGAAAATCCAGATAAACCAAATCTACACCCCCTCATCTACATAAGCAGTAACCTTTTCAAAGAATGTCAAAAGATTTGTAAGACAAGATTTTCCCTTAGTGAAACCATGTTGACTATCCAATAAAATTCTAAACTTTGTTAAACAACTTTGCAAAACATCTTTTAACTGACTTTCCAAAACTTTTCCTACACCTGATATAAGACTAATAGGCCTATAACTACTGGGACAATTTTTAACATCTCCCTTGAAAATAGGAGTTACATAAGCTAACTTCCAATCCTCTGGTACCTGCCCACTATTCAAGGACTTAAAACGTGCCCGCAGCTGAATGTTGGAGCGTGTTCAATGGCAGATCATAGGTACGGACTTTCCACTCCGCAGACCGGCACGCATATCAGATACACCGTCTTTCTGGGAACGTACCGTAACAGTATTATTTGATATTTATGCTGACATTTCTCTACAGTTTGCGACTGGCAACTTCATTAACTATTAATTTAACTAATACTTACATGTATTAAAGTAAAAAAAAAAAAAGAAACACGCAAAATCGTTGCAAAAACGTTTTGTTTTTATTGAAAGTAAATAAAAAAACAAACAACATACAGAAACCTAATATTATCAGGATTTTGGCCTGCGATCCATGCTTGACTTTTAACTTCAGTTTTTCAAAGTGTGTACAGCACTTATTTTGCTGTTGTTTCTGTTTGTTTTTTTTCAATAAGCACGCCACCTGTTATATAGATTTTTTTAGGCTTAATCCATTTTGTTGTCCAACATTCTCCAGTGATGGTCGCGAGGCTTTACGAACGTGTCTTATTGCCAGAGGAAAGGGATTTGACGATTGAGTTCGTTAGGAAGATAACCGTTATTCCTTGTGACCAGAATGTTTGGGATACCGTACAATATTTGGATTGACATAACTCGTTTTTCGAACGCTTGTAGACCGACTTTGTCTGGTATTAAAAGACAAGGTGCTTTGTCATTCTGACAAGGCAGCGATGAACAAAACGAAAGCAAAATGATAATAAAGAAAAATCAGACGGAATTAAATTTAAGGAGACAACTTCGGAATTCTAGGAATGCAAACAACTATGTCAGTCTTCGATAATTGTTCTCTCTAAGCGTTTGTATAACAAGGTATTGCCTGTTCTCTCACAGATAATTATAAACAATGTATAATTCATACACGTTCAAGGCCTTCATAGAGAACAGGCAATACCTTGTTATACAAACGCTTAGAGAGAACAATTAGAAGTTCCATAGATAATTGTAAACAATGTATAATTCATACACGTTCAAGGCCTTCATAACTTCTAATTGTTCTCTCTAAGCGTTTGTATAACAAGGTACTGCCTGTTCTCTCACAGATAATTATAAACAATGTATAATTCATACACGTTCAAGGCCTTCATAACTTCTAATTGTTCTCTCTAAGCGTTTGTATAACAAGGTATTGCCTGTTCTCTCACAGATAATTATAAACAATGTATAATTCATACACGTTCAAGGCCTTCATAACTTCTAATTGTTCTCTCTAAGCGTTTGTATAACAAGGTATTGCCTGTTCTCTCACAGATAATTATAAACAATGTATAATTCATACACGTTCAAGGCCTTCATAACTTCTAATTGTTCTCTCTAAGCGTTTGTATAACAAGGTATTGCCTGTTCTCTTAC